ATTGCATGGTGGTAGAAAGCAGCATCTCCAGCTAAGGTAATCTTGTAATAGAAAGCAAAAGACAGTCCCATGACTCCTTGCTGCAATCTTTCTTCAAACAAACCCTGTGTTTTTAAATACTCTTGTCCAGCTACCATGGGTGAATTGTGTATATTTTGTTGTGTTTCTATTGAATTTGATTCTTGAACTCTGTTTGCTCCATATTTAACCTTGAAAATCACACAAGTCTTCAACTAAATTATTATATTAATACTTCCAATGCAGGTCTTCATGGTATTCATTTATTTTGATCTTATTTCTTTCTCAGCAAACCATTCTCCACCAAAGGTCATTTAGAAAGTCGAGGTCATGAGAGATTGGAGTATGTGTCTCGTCAGTTCTTAGCAGAGTTGGGTTTCTCTCAGTGGCGATCACGTGAATTCTGGGGCATGATGATAATGTTACTGTTGGTATGGTTCCTGCGGATGTACATACATTACGTTGGACAGTGGGTCTTCTTGAATCTCATTGTCATTCCAATCAACAAGTGAGTAAAGTGTTGATCTTGATTGAATCGATTTATTAAAAACAGAACTGAGGTAGTAAAACAGATATGAAGAATGTGACCTGATCCCAATCATGCTTAAAAGGACAGTCTCGCATTGTCGCTGAAGCTCAGAATATGTTATTTTTTCATTTAAATCTGGACATCCAAACAAAATTTTAAAAACATAATCATTATTTCTGCTGATTTTAAAGTTTTGCGTCATGAGCAGCCACTGTTGTCCTGTGTCAGAATTGCATATTTGACAACAGTTTAACCCAAAATAAGTAAAAAAAGAATGGTATATTTTCTTCTTAATTCAACATTTTGTCTGTCCTTGCTAACACTATCATTACTTCTTTTTTCAGGTTTGACTTTCTTCCATATACTGTAAGTCTCAACTATCAACAGAGTCTGTTATACACACGTGAGGAGATTGCCGTCGTTCTGATTGGCCCATTCACCAATATATTTATTCTGATTTTATTGGTGTGTGTCTCGTGGCTGTCCCAGAGAGTACTCGGTTCCTACCCTGGATTAGGATCTAAGTTTACCATGGCTTATGGGATAATGACATTCCTGGATCCAATATTTATACTACTTATCGACGCTATCATTGGGGTAAGTACATCTCTCATGTTACTACAATTCAGCGTCTGTTTTGGTTAATAATTTCTCAATGGAAATTTTGTGCAATTCAACTTTTAGCCCTTTACTTTTTTAGATTAGGGAAATGTATGTGAGGTAAAATGTCTATTTTGTTGTGGTTTTACTATCTGGAACAATATTTATCTGATCATCTTCAAACTTGCTTATCTTATCAATCATTATTACAATTCAACCAAATTCATTTTTGGTGTGGCTAGCATGTTTAATTTTCAAGATAGGTGTTAACATCTGAGTCGCAGATGTCTACCAGTATGTAATTCTCTCCAAGATCGGATATTAGTCGCTGTTAAGAAAGGGGGACTTGTGTTTTGGGTTTCATGTATTCATTCATCTGCTTGTCCGAAAAAATGTCTTTAACATGCATGAAACTAATTTTCTCAAAGTGTGTACAAAGTAAAAGATGTATATATATCTCAAAAAAACACCAAAAACATTTGAGCTTGTCATCAACAGTGTCTGAGGCATGCTTTGACTGATTTCATTCAAACTTAGCATTAACATCACTCATAGTGTGTTACTGATGTACGTCATTCAATATCTGTTAATTCAAATTGCTGACTGTGTTTCCTTTATCATTGCTTTGACAAGATATATTTGTATACATACCCGGTATGCACAATTGTTACTTAATGAAATTAATGACCAGTATGCTAAAATATCCATAAATTTTAACACTTTTTACAACCAACAACTTCAATTGACAACTTAAAATATGTCCTTGACTTTATCTTCAATCATAGAAATTGTTTCTATTTGCACATAGTACACTCCTTTTTTGGCATGTTTTGCTAATAAGATATCACTTTGAAAATGTACCATCAGGGACTGTGTCATTTCTGTTGTTTACTTGTTTAGATACATTTTGCTTGATATATGTTTTTTATTTTGCAAAAAGCAAAAACATACTGATTTTCTACAATATAAAAGCAGACTGATGAAAACAAAAGAGCTGATGAAAACAAAATGGCTGACATGTGGGCTGTAACATGTTTTTCACTTTAAATGATCAATCAACCCCCTCAATGCCCATAACCATATTCTGCTCAGTTCCTAAAAACAATTCATTATCTTTAGTTTAGTAATTTTTGATTAAAAACATTAAACCATACAGACATAAGTTGGCTATGATCTATAATTAAGCGACATGAATTCTTTTCATGTTTTTGAATATTTGATTTCAGACAGTGGTGTATACAAGTGGAGATGACCCCATAGCTGATGCATCTAAGTTATATTATAACTTTGTGAGAATTCAGAATAATGGTTTAGTTGGAATATTTATGACGATATTCCTCTACTTATTCTGCATGTTTACAACCGTTGTCATTGTCTATATGTACTTCTTACGGTGAGTGTTGATCTGTCTTCTCATTGATGAACACTACTGTGGCACTGACAGTGTATATGCTAACAGTAAAAAATGATAAAACGGTAAAAACATTTAATTTGACTACTAGTATTTTTATATTTTGAACAATTTCACTGGGTTTCACAGGAAAACATCATTGTTATTATGCATACTATACTCACATAAATTTAATTTCGTGAATTTTACTTATCTGCGAAAATAGCGTAATTAAAAACCAGTGAATGATACTAGTAATCACAGTCCCTCCACAACCGGTTAAGAAACGGTCAGATATCTATTGTTACAATGCGTGTTTCGATTAATCCGTTGTTTATTTAACCGCTTAATCGCTGTTTATTTCGCTAGCGGTAAAATACGGACGTTCTGCCATCTTTCCCCAACATTAACATAAAATTAGCATATCCGATGATGTAATTTCTCCCACAAAGCATTGCGTTTCTTTAGTGCGCATGCGTACTTTCAATGTTTTCATTCGTGTCAACATAGTCTCTACTTCCGTGATCGCTCTAAAATATTACTGTAATGTGAAAATCCTACGATGATTTCGTCGATTTTGACGATGAAAATGTCGATTGGCCATCAGAT